AGGGCCATAACAGCTTTTGCAGCTAAAATCAGCAGTAAGGGGTGAGGCCACCAGGACACCTCAGCCAGAGGCATGGGGTGTGGGACCCTGCCACAATCGGCCCATGAAAACAACAGCCAGTCCTGCGATCTTCCTGCTAAATCAGCTAGCCACCTCCCTAAATTGGGCAGACACCTAGTCATAGGCTACCACAGGAAAAAAAGGCTTATGGGAAGCTGCATTTAAGAGAGAAATTATTTGACCAGTTATTTTGCCCCTAACACCTCCCTTCCCCCAGTTGTAACTTTTAGTAGTATACTCTGTGTAGCAGAGAATGTAAAAAAAAAAAAAAAGCTATCCAAGAGATGCTCGCATTTACTATAAGAACCAAGCTGGATATTTATTGTATTTTCATTGTGTACATTCATCTATAAAGAGATGATGTAGTAAGTGATTACAACCACATTTCATCTATAACCGACTTGTTATAGATGATACACATTTCCCAATAAATACTATCAGCATTATTGTAGCAGACGTCTAGCAATTTCAACACTACTAGCAGAAATCAGCATGTTTTTGATGTATAATACAGTCCAAGAAGAGTAGTGTTTGGTTCTTAAAAGCTAGCATATGCATAGCCAGAAGTGATTACCATTCCAGTGGTAGCAAGAAAAGAGGAGACTTATTTACTCTTTCATGGACAGTACATCCAGACTTGCACAGTATTTCCACATAAAGCTTCGCAAAGTACTTTTAGTTAGACTTTCCTGAAGTTAGCCAAAGTAATCATGAATATTTGGTTTGAAATAATGTGCTCCCTTTCAATATCTTAACTCTTTGCAAAAGACTCTTGGATAAAAAAATTATGTAGTTAAGTCATAAAGAGAGAGTTAAAAATACAATAATAAGTCAACTAGAAAAACTGTACTCCCACTCTACCCTCCAAAACCTTACCTCTGGTAGTTTTGGAGGAAGAACCTAGGCAATTTCCTCATTTTCTACACGTGGAGTTCTTGCATCCAAACAGAACATGCTTTATTCCAATCACAAAATGCAGTCAAATGAGCCATTAAAAGAAAAGCCAGCCTTGAAACATTACTTTATAAAAAAGGATATATAATAAATAGCCATACCATTTACATACAATTTCAGCTTCCCCTCGGTTTCCACAACATATTACACATTGGATGCATCTATATATTTACTGCAGAGCTGCCCAGTTAGCTTGGCAGTAAAGTCTCAGTGTCTACCCATGATGCCCTATTAGGGCACAGGAACCCAACACCACTGTAGGTTAGTACTTGTATTTATAAGTACAATCCTGTAGTGGTGTTATTTACTGCCAGAAACACATGTGTAGACACTGACAGCTGGCTGGGGCACTAGGGTGCTTCAGTGCAGGGTCTGCTTGCCAGCTTGCCCTGCACCAAGGCACCCTTGTGCCCCAGCCAGCCCCTCTACACAACACTGAGCTGGGTCCCAGCTGCCCCAGGTGGGCTGGCTGGCAGGCCAACCCCTTCCCTGCCCCCTCCCAACTCTGCCACCTGGGGCTGCTGAGACCTGGCTTAATGTGCTGCAGTCCCAAGTGCACATGTTGACACAGTACCCAGAAGCAATAAACTCCAGTGAACAAAGCACCAGAGTTTATTACCCTGCATTAATTTCATGTGTAGATGTGCCCACTAAGTTCTGACTTTCTGCAGGATCTTCTAGAGCAGAGTGCCAAACAGATAGCCACATGCCAAGTGTCATTTTCATTTAAACTTGGGACAAAGTAAAACCATTTTCCCCCATTCCAGTTGAATGCATGCCTTTTTTAATAGGAGCAAGTGTATGCAAAAGCCATTTCTGACTGAAGGAGGCAAGTCAGAGCAGAGCATTGCAGCCTGTACTGAAACTACTTGTCAGTACAATTACTTGATGGGCTTGATATTCATTTAAGTAGAGAGGGTTTTATTTATATATTTAACTTATATAAGTTAAATAAATATATAAATAAAACCCTCTCTACTTAAATGAATATCAAGCCCATCAAGTAATTGTACTGACAAGTAGTTTCAGTACAGGCTGCAATGCTCTGCTCTGACTTGCCTCCTTCAGTCAGAAATATACCTGTACAGTTTTGTTTTTTTAGGGTCTACACCAGCGTTTCCCAGACATTTGATAACTAAGGCACACTTTTCCTAGCTTAAATAGGCAGCATGCTTCATTTTTACACCTGAGTCACCATTCTCCTGCTAAAAGAAATCATACCAGCACTCAGATGCACTTAAAACAACCAACCAGCTCACCCACCCACCCGGAGACACCAACTACATTTTTCTTTAAGCAAAGGATTAGTTGATATAACAGTGGTCTCAACTTTTTTAGCTTCAAGGCACCCCTAATAATTTACTGAATTTCACAGCACCCCAGTTGAAGTCACTGCTCTAGATCCAAGGTCAGAAGAGACATGTCGGGGGACTTCGAGGCCAAAAAAGTTGATTTAGATGGTAGTACTTGAAGGCAACAGGGACAGGGGCTCTCACTGTGCTGTACCCTGCTCTTTTCACTGTTCTCTCTTCACTCAGTCTGTACCTCAGGCTACTACTGAGGTTACTCCTGCAGTGTCTCACATGCTAGCAACCACTCCTCCAACTCCACATGCTCCCATGGCTGACAGTGTGGTCTGAAGGGGACTAGCTGGGTTACAATATATGGTTGCATGCAGTGGTAGCAGAATTGGAATAGGTGGGGCAGGAGAAGGAATTTCATTGCCCACATCCTTTTGGAATCACTAGTTTACACTTTAGCATGGGATGACAGGCAAAATATCCAAGGTAAGTTAGACCGATTTTCTGACCCCAGCACATAGGAAGCGACTAATCCGAAGGGGAAGCCACCCAGTTTCTCTGTTCGCAACCTTTACTATTCTCCTTAATGCATCTGATGTTACATTTGAAAATTCATGTGTCACATTAAGACTGCTTTGGGTAATCAAATATTGACAAGATCCAAGTAAATGAAAGTTGAGTAGAGAGGAAGTAGGTTCAATTTAAACCTTCCTTTGCCACCTTGACTCCCATGATCAAGAGGCCATTCTACAAACCACTTCTAGAATAAAATCAAGAGGCAAACAAAAGGTAAATTCACTGGTGAGGATCATTCCCCCCTCCCCCCCAAAGTCTCAGGTTTACATATATTAAAGAGTATTAGCCTCTTTCATTACTTTGAATATTTCTAGAATGAAACATCTACAGCAAGATGTTAATTAAAAGGTGGTTTTTGTTCAAAAGAATTTCAGTTTAGAGAGTAGAAAGCTAAATTTGATTTTGTGTCAGGATCCTCAAGTTCCATTTAAGAGATGGAAAGAGCCTTCCATGGTTTTTATTAAATACCTTAACAAGCTTTTCACTTCATACATGCAGTTCAAGTAAGAACCAACTTTTAAGTAACTTCATACTTACACCTCAAGTGAAAGTCCACGCCAAAGTAGCTGTACAAAATAGATGTCTAGAATCATTGTTTGCTAGCATGTACTGATCACTCTCAACCCCCCAAAAATTTCCTAACGGAGGGAAATCTGCTTTTTAAGTAGCAGACAGAACACTAATAAGGTAGGAAAGTTTTAACAGAGCTATTTTACCAGGTTTTTTGTTACCCTGAACAATCTTAAAACTATCCCCCTTTCCAAGCTGAAGGCCTCTAACACAAAAGCAAGACTACCCCAAGCAGAAAGTGATGTTTGGATATTAAAGAGTTGTAAATGGAACCAAAAGGGACAAGCTGAAGAAATTCAAACTTCAGATGCACTGAGCCCAGTTACTGAAAAGGCAAAAATATCCAAGCAGGTATTTTTCCAATGAGCATCCTCCCAGGCTACCAAGTAGTCAAAGCAGCACTTAAACCCTCCCAACACAGGTGGATTTCTTCTGAATTCTAATTACAGTTGAGTGTGGCTTCATGGATTTAAAATAAAACAAACAAACCAAGTACTTTAGGACTTGCTCCAGTAACTTTGCTTTACACTACCATGGCCATAGCGCTAAGCCATGAATGAGAAGTAGTGTCATAAACAGTCTTTCATCAGCTCCAGCATAAGAAATATGTTGCCCAAATCTCTTCCCTGCCCATTGTAAGCCTATTCCTTTCTGCTTAGTAGGTCAAGTATTTAAATGAACATGCTGTAACTATTGACTTTTTGTAATGACGGCAGGGTATATCAGCCCCGTGTTCATACTGAGGGCAACAACCCAGCTTGTGCTGAGCTACAGCTATGTTACTAAACAAGAACTAAGTCTTTGGAAACTTGAAGAGGATTTCTGTGATAAACAATGTTTTATACTACTTCAAAACTTCTGCCAAAAGAACATTAGCAGTCAGAAACAGCTTTTAATGTGCTCCCTAAAACAACAAAAATCCCACTGTTAGTTTGTCCTATTACAAGTGATACTAACGCTTAGATCCACAATACAGCTACAAAGAATCTAGGGACCAGATTCTTTGGGACACTGAACAAAAAAAAAAAAAAAAAAAAAAAAAAAAAAAGAAACCCCAATGACACCAACAAGCAAAATCTAGCCAGCAGGTGCTACCTATATGGTCACTTTACATCACCTTTTCCTGTTGCCAGTGTAAAGCAAGAACCTGCAGGATTTTTTCATGCTGTGCAGTTCTACCCCTCCCCAGCCAACTTATTCAAACCTTCAGGAATACTGGCTATTCCAAAATACACCAAGCTTCTTTCACACTAAATACTTGGTTCATGAAAGTATTTTGAACACAGCTGCCAAGGATCAAAACACAAAGTGGTGGAAATGTGTGTCAGCTCTGTACTCTAAACTCTATAGTTGAGGCATGACCAGGGCCTTTAGCACTTCAGAGAAATGGTGCAGGAGACTTTGAGGCCTTCCTTGAAGGGCAAGATGGAGCCTTTCATGAAGAATTCCTGAACTTAACCATCAGGAAGAAGTCAGGGCGTCTGCTCCTGAAAAGTACTTTTGCAAAAAAAAGTTTACATGCAATACCAAACAACACTAGTTGCTCTAGTTCCTGTTTATTTCAAATAATGACAGTGAAAGACATTTTTGAACCCTCACATGAGAGAAGGGCACAGCCAATAATTACATGAAATACAGAACTTCAGTGTCCTACATGGTCAAATATAAAAGTTCCAAGAAACTAGTTGCTGGTCAGTCCGTTATTCATCTATTCAGTCAAACCAAGCTTCTTCTTCAGAGACTCTGGCATTTCAGGTGGAGGTGGGCGAGGAAGTTTGAAATAAACCTTCACAGAGTCATAGATGAACCACTGTAGTGCAGTCAGGGTACCAATCATGATAATACGGGCAAAGAGACCCTTCCATACACCTGTTGAGTAAAGCAAACATTAGGGACTAGAAAAGTTCACCCCCCCACACCCCTCATTAAATAAATAAGATTTAGAAAAATAAGATTCTTACCTCTGAACCCAAGCCTCACAAGCACTTGTGAGGCAGAACTACCCTTTTCCTTATTCAACACCGACACTACAGAATCAGCAGGATGAGAAACAATGGCACAGAAGACACCAGCTGAAAAAAGAAATAGCTTATTAGTAAAATTCTTCAGGTAGCCAAGGCAGGAAAAACACTAGAGCCAAAATTCTTGCTGCACAAGAGATTGTGGCTACTACGTACTCAAATCCTACAGGACTGGAACCTGCTTTTCCATGGCCTTAGTAAAACAGTTTACAGTCATATAAGCCTCAGTTAGAGCACTCCAGCAGATAGCAAGCCTGTGTTCTTTGTACAGCCCAGTTAGCTCTAAAGGAGCAGGGCTAGTCTGTAGCCCTCATATTTCCAGGTAAGAAATGTAATTCCAAGAAGTTTAAGGCTCAGTAGTCAATTCCCTCTGCAAGCCCTGCTGCTGGCCTTGGTAGGGTGAGCCATACTCTTCCTGATCTGAAGTTAAACAAGTTACATTTCACACCCACAGCTTAGATCCTCTAAAACTTGTCAGAGTAGGCAAGCCATTTAGCCACTCATCCTTTTCATAACCCTGAAAAGTTTTAGTTTTGGCTAGATTCTGGTAGCCCTCTGGAAAAGCTCTAGACCAGTGCTTTTCAACCTGGTCCGCAGACTCCTGGGGGTCCACAGACTATGTCTAAGGGGTCCACAAAAGATGACTATGATCAAAAGTACGTGAATACCCACACTTACAATTCAAAGGGGTCTCCACCTCCATTTGAAAAAAGGTTAAAAGTTATTGCTCTAGACATATTAATGTCATGACCCAAAAGGCATGATTGTGTGTGCGCGCTTTGGCATCAGAATTATCCACGTTAAGTTGCAGAACATTGCACGGGAGTTTCCTGTAGCAAGAGAAAACTCCGGTGCATGGACCAGTTTCCCGCCTTTTCTGCAGCTTCTTTTGCAGAGTGCATTGCTCGAGTTGCAAGAGGAATGCACGGTGCAAAAGAGTTCCTGCCACCGGTATGCAAATTCGTTCCCCGTGATTGGCTAGTGCTAAATTATTCACACGTGGCGGCTAGCGATTGGCCTGTTAGCCGTATAAGAGGCTTGAGCA